TAGAGATCACTACAGTGTCTTCTTGATATTTTATATTGTGTATGTAGGCTACTCTTAATATGTAAATGTTTTCATCAAATAAAACTTCTTCAACAACAACATTCAATAACGTGCTTTAACCACTAGGTGGCGCGGGTTAAAAAACCAGTGGTGTAGTTAATAAAACATAATAATATCAAACATAATGTGACTATTAACTTTATTGTGAAATGAAAACAGAACGGTAAAGGAAAACACAGTTTCAGTCTCTCGATGTGAAGCTTATGCATTGTACCATGAACCTGGATAGACCTGTAACAGTCAGCTGCATGAGGAGTTGGAAAGGTAATGAATGAATTAAAATGTCGAACTCTGACTTCATTTTAAGGACATGTCGGCCAGGGATGTAGAGCTATATTTGTTTAACCACCGGATTGGCAAAACAGGAGAGTGTGCACCAGTCTGCCTTGATCTATGTATTCATGTCTGTGACTCTCACAGTATCTGCTGCCCACAGCTGCTTTATGGAAGGAACACCTCCTTCACTTCATGAAATCTCTGCAGCACCAGGAGGCAGCTGATGTGTTTTAACCACACACACGCGCACACACACACACACACACACACACACACACACACACACACACACACACACACACACACACACACACCACACACACACACACACACACACACACACACACACACAACATAAATACCTGTGTACAGATGTGTATTCCTAGCTGACGTGATATTCTGTGTGTTCAGGTGTGTGGAAAGTATTTCCAGGTACAAATGTTATTTCTCACGGGGATATTCACAAGCAACCAACTCCCATGCACTCTGAATGTGCATTAGCAGACCCACTGTTGGTATGACATGAAAGAGCTTCTTCTCAGACTCCCTTTTCCTTTCTGTTTCAGCGAGTCTGCAGCTGCAGTGTGATAAGAAGCAGATCACGGCTCCCCTCGGGTCAGACTTCCTGCTCTCCTGCAGCTATGAGAACCAGCTGCTCAGCAACAAGTACTGGTGCCGAGGAGAGTCCAGGAGGACCTGCGAGGTGCTGGTGGACTCGGAGGGGAAGACCAGAACCACCCGGGTTCACATCGTGGATGCTCGGAGTAGAGAACTGTTTGTGAGGGTCTTAGATCTGCAGAAGGGGGACAGCGGGGTCTACTGGGTCGGGATCGACAGGCCTTATGCTGACATCATGACGTCAGTGAGGGTGGTCGTCACTGAAGGTGAGAATACACACTGCAGGTGGAGAGGGTTCAATATTGAACTAACAGGTATCACCATGAAACCCCCGTGCCCGATCACGGCTCCCCTCGGGTCAGACTTCCTGCTCTCCTGCACTTGTTGGAGAGAAGCCATCGAGGAACAGTTTTAACCATACACGTACACAAATCGTTTAACTACCCTTTAAGTTATGAAGTTATAGAAGCCTTATCAAGAAGAAAGAATACCGTTCAAACACATCGCAACTTCATCCAAACCATCGGAGGCCGAGTAACTCTTCAACTGTTAGTAATATAAAGGAAAGAAAACGAGTTAGAAGTGTCTGTTTAGGCGTCTAGTGGCTTGATAGAAAAACAAGGAATGAAGCCACGACAATCTTTCTAGTCGGACCCATTAGAGCGTAAAAAGTGTAACTATAAGTATCTGAAATAAATATGTACTGAAAGAATAACTGTATGCATTGTTTCTTATGCGCAATTACTTCATACTGTCTTTGTCTTTCTCGTCCTGCATTTATTGCCCCCCCTCAGAAAATAACTGGCCCCCCAGTCAGAATATAGCATGGTGATGAAGTTGGTCCTATAACCTGTAACCTTTAACCTGATTAGGCGTTCTCTGTCAGATTCAACAACTTCAGTCTAATGCAAAAATAAATACATTTATGTCATCAAGTTTTTTATTTAGCACATTTTAACAAGGCATAAATAAATCAATAAGATATGGTGCAAAGGAAGCATCTTATAAAACTACATTTAAATGCAGTAAAGAAAAAGCCAATACAAATTAAAACAAGATGAACTGGAATAAAAAAAGGTTGCCCTGCTCTCCTCTGTGTTTCAGTCCTGGTCTCTAAGCCCCGCCTCCAGCCCCTGGTCTCCCTGATGGAGGGCTCCACCTGTCGGGGGGGTCCGGTGACGGTGAGATGTGTGTATTCACGGGGGACCGCGGTCCTTTACACCCCGAGGACGTCCTGCTGCAGAACTCTGCTGACCTGCAGCTCACCTGTGACTCTCTGCGGCTCACCTGTGACTCTCTGCGGCTCACCTGTGACTCTCTGCGGCTCACCTGTGACTCTCTGCGGCTCACCTGTGACTCTCTGCAGCTCACCTGTGACTCTCTGCAGCTCACCTGTGACTCTCTGCGGCTCACCTGTGACTCTCTGCGGCTCACCTGTGACTCTCTGCGGCTCACCTGTGACTCTCTGCAGCTCACCTGTGACTCTCTGCAGCTCACCTGTGACTCTCTGCAGCTCACCTGTGACTCTCTGCAGCTCACCTATGACTCTCTGCGGTTCACCTGTGACTCTCTGCGGCTCACCTGTGACTCTCTGCAGCTCACCTGTGACTCTCACCTGTGACTCTCACCTGTGACTCGCAGCGTCGAAACTGTGGCACTTACACTGCGTTTGCGCTTCAGATGAGGCTCCCTCTGCAAAACGAGGCCCCACGCAGTCTGCGTGATCTGCGTGGAGGGAGGGTCCGGTATAATAACGTCACACTAAATGCAGTCATTTGGTCTTTAGCAACAGCTTGTGAGAGCAGCGCATTCATCGGTGTTCGTTGTCATGCTGCCAGTTTGTTGACGGCCTGTGTGTTGATGGGACTTCTCATGCTCCCTAAATGTTTCCTCTGCCTTTCGCCAGTTCTTAAACCGTGCTTTCACAAAACTCCCATCCCTGATCTTGCGCTGACGAGCTTCTTTTCTATAGCAGAGCAACAGAAGAAGCACACTGCATTATCACTTTCTCTTATAGTGAAGCTTTTTAGAGACTGCTTACACTAAAATGCTAACTCAAACATACTCAAAATAAAACTTTTGTATTGATTTGATTAGTGAACTTTTTGGCGTTGCAGTTACAACTCTCCGCCAACAGGTGGGGGTGCTGCAGCCCCCTCAGCACCCCCCCTTCCCACGTCCATGATCAAATGACTAAAGAAACATCAGAGAGAAGCTGAATTACTGCAAGGAGAGGAGGAAGTACTAAAACATCCACAAAGCAACCACTTAGAAAGCAAAAGGACTTAAAGGGGATCAAAACAGACTTAGAACGATCACATAAATACAGAAAAAGTGTTAAAAAAGATTCAAAAAGACTGAAAGTAGATTTGGTGACACAAATAAAGACACCGCCCCTCGCTTGGACCTTAAAAACAGGAACTTAATCTTTAAATTCACACAATTCAAGTTGTATATCTCGACAACTCCATCTTAGTGACAAAGTCTGTCCACTCCCAGAAACGTTGATCACTTCTCAGGAAAGAAGAGTAATGATGAGAAGGACACAGACGTTGTGTCAGAGTGGAACATTTCCATGTTGCTGAGCAACAGACAGGAAGCAGGGGGCGGGTCTCTGACTCTGGACCTTCACACTCACATGTGTTAATATTTAATCCACTACAATAGGCTAGTTGCACGGGATGCTCAAACATAGTAACTCAAAATAAAACTTTTGTATTGATTTGATTAGTGAACTTTTTGGCGTTGCAGTTACAACTCTCCGCCAACAGGTGGGGGTGCTCTAGCCCCCTCATAATTGCAAATGGACAAGAGTTCAACAAATATATTGACAACCTGGGAGAGAAACCTAATGTTCTTTGTATTCAGGAAACATGGCTGAAAGCACAACTGGATTTTATTGTGAAGGGATATACTGCAGTTAGACGAGATAGGGACTCTGGCAGAGGGGGAGGAGTTGCAACATTCATACAGAGTGGGATAAGTCACAAAGTTATGCATGTAAGTAGTTATACACATACCACTTTCGTCTCATTAGTATGCATAGAAAGTGACAGGTCACACCTCTAAGTCCCGCCCCCTTCAGCCAGAAGTCCCGCCTCCATAAGCCCCGCCCACTTCCGCCGGAAGCCCCGCCCCTTCTGCAGGAAGTTCCGCCCCCCACTTCCGGTTTTTCAGAATAAAATTAAAAAATATTTTTAAAATGATAAAAATGCTGCCCCTACCGGTCGCCCCCGCTTCCGGTTTTCAAAATAAAATAACATGACATTTAACAACCATGAGAAAAATAAAATGCTGCCCCTGCCAGTTTTCAAAATAAAATTTGAAAATAATTTGAAAATGATAAAAATAAAAAATGCTGCCCCTACCGGTCGCCCCGCTTCCGGCAAAATAACATGAAATGTAACAACCAGGAGAAAATAAAATGCTGCCCCCTACGGTTTTACAAAATAATAATTTTATAATGAATCACATATGCATAGGATCAATGTCCCTGCCACCTAGTCACTTCCTGTGCGCCTGTATACAGCAGTATTGACTGCAACTTACAAATACTTGCAAATAACATGAAATATACAACCATATATTTTAAAAGTAATGTCTCAGCTCTAAAGAGCAATGTCCCGCCACCTAACCACTTCCTGTGCCCCTGTATACAGCAGTATTGACTGTAACTTACAAATACTTGCAAATAACAAGAAATATACAACCATATATTTGTAAAAGTACTGTCAATCTCACTAACTCTCTCTCTCTGCTATTCTCTGCCGTGAAAAGTTTGGTGAACAGTCAAGACAGGTGTGGGGACACCATAAAACCCCCAGACATCCTCTGCGGGGCAAATGGTGTGTGTGTGTGTGAGGAGACGGTCTGAGGCTGCTAATTACAAAAGTCTCCGAATTCAGGACAGATGGTCAGAGCAAAACAGAGAAAGCAGTTACATTATTTTCTCATGTAACTATCTACATGTTTTTTTGTAATGTGTATGCGTGTATATATATGTATATATATATATATATATATACACGCATACATATATACAGGAGAATAGCCTAAAATAAAAAAGTATTTGCTCTACCATAAAAAACCAAATACAATATAATGCTAATTTGTTAAACAATCAGGAATAACCCCATTGGTTGTTTTTAGAATCATTTACATATTGCGGTCTATAAGTAAGCCCGGAAACATCTAGGCAGCCTCTCTTCGCTTTTCCCCGTCAAGGCCCAGATATTTTGAAAATATATGGTAAGTACTTTTATTTTTTTATGTTATAATAGCATATAGTTAGTTAATGCTGCTTGATGTGTGTGTGTGTGTGTGCGTGTTAAATAACCTCTATGCATCTGTGTTTTTCTATTATGTAATTATTTAGAAGCTTTAATGAAGTATCGTTCTAAGTACAAATAATGTGGTGTACATTTTTTTACTATAAGTGTATTTAGCTATATTTCTTAAAAATCAAATATGTTCTTTCAGGTGTAAGTATCCAGAATAACGTACTCACTTGTTTTAAAAAGGTGGTGCACCCCTCCGGCGGCCTGCATGGTCTCAGCTCAGCACAGATCTGTTCAACAAGTCATCTCAACACAGACGGTGTTTTTGACAATTCAAACCTACCAGGTAAAAAATGCTTTTTTTATGTGTGCTTATACAAAAGATGATAGCTAAATGATTTTGTTTTGGAGTATTTCAAAAAACATGCTTATACCCTCTTCTTTTCTTTTCTTTTATAGAGCAATTGAAGGGGAGGACCCCGTTATCAAAAGGACAAACGCTGTTTGTTAAGGTCTGCTTTAAGGCCACACCATCTGAATAAGCTACACGTAGATCACATGTAAAACTGTTATTGATGTATCCGCCAGGTATGTTGACTTTACGTCCATGAATGTTTCTTCAGCGGTGCCACTGATTTTTTTGTTTTTATGTTTTTTGCGGGGGTGATTTCTTAAAAACGGTCAAGCATGGATGATTTTAAAGACGACGAAAAGTCCTTCATCGAGGGTTTACCTGATGTAAATGAACTATGCAGTGGTGAGGGCTTTGTGTACGAAGACATGTCATTTCCACAGTGGTCAGACAGTAACAGTGAGCTAAATGACACAATAACAGATGTACGCGAGCCTACGCCCTTGACAGAAACAAGCCCCTATACAGATGGAGAAAGGTCCTTTCTGCATGTATTACCGGATGTAAACGAATTGTGCAGTGATGATGATGATGAATTCAGATATAGGGACCTGTCATTTCCGCAGTGTTCAGGCAGCAACAGTGAGTTAAATGACGCAGGCTCAGCTGTAAACGAGCCTGCGGCCTTGTCAGAAACAAATTCAAGCAGTCCAACAAAAACATTAGACGGTGCCTTGGATTGGGTGATAGACTGCTATGCAGACCGAGGGCTTTTAGAGCAGCCTCTAGACAATGCCCGCCGTCTGGATGGACAAAATAGCGAAGCTTCGCCCCACGCCTGCCTCCCCGTTTCCAGCATGCAAGATGACGGGTGTGTTAATGACAGCTCGAATGACTCAGAATCACCCGCTTGCTCCATGCAAAGTAACAGACATGTTGATCAGAATGACACCCCGAATGCTTCGGAATCACCGGGCCCCCTGTCACAGTATGGAGGAGGAGGCACTAGCAGAGATGCCGAGCCAAGTGTTATCTCTCGACCTGTATTCGGTAACATAGAAATGAGACAGTCTCTAGTCCTACCGCCTATTGGGGGTGAAGCAGACTTTGGAGTCTATTTTCAGGGTCTGATGAACAATGTGCATAACATGCGTGCACATGCTTTTGCACGGGCAGAAAGAGAAGATATCATACAAATTGAGTTACGTGGTGAAGAACTAAGGGTTAACGTATCAGCCATTTTAAATGGTCCCGATGATAATCTGGATGATTTTGAGGAGGGGCTGTTCAAAGCCATGTAATCGAATATCATGGTAATGGCAGAAGGCAACATGGAGCTCGTGGTTCAAATTGTTCAGGCCCCCCGTGGGGGGGTTCAGGGTAAACGGATGATTAGTAAAATGTTAGACAGTGAGATTGTTAAAAAGAAGGCGCGTTTTCTTTACGTTGTTCAGAACTCCTCCAACCAGCTGTGTTTTGCTATTAATTTAGCACTGTTGTTACACGATAACCTCACTGATAATGAGGGGGTCAAGCGCGGTAAAGAGATCCAGAATATGGCGGGTTTGACAGCTCATACAGCTGTGACATTCAGCGACATTGATAAATTCGAAGACAGCTTAAACTGTAAGATAGTGGTTTTTTACCGAAACGGTGACGACCGAACCCTTTGTACATTTCAGACAGACGCCCCCACACGAGACAAAACTGTGTTTTTGTTCCTCCTACACAACCACTACTATGGTGTTAAGAACTTGAAGGGGTTTTTAGGCTCTCCGTATGTCTGTGAACATTGCTATACAGGGTATAGTTCTCAATGGAGTCACTCCTGTACTGGGCATTGCTATGTCTGCCTTGACCCCGCATGCACCCGGGAAGAGTTTAAACCCATCTTTTGTAAAGACTGCAACAAAACATGCCGTACAGTCGGCTGTCATTCTCGACATAAAGAGCAGAAACAGAGATCAACAGACATTGCCAGTAACTGTGATTTACACAAAAAGTGTGCAGATTGCCAACTTTCTTACTACACCCCCAAGAGTAAAGCAGATAAAACACACAAGTGTGTGACGAAAAAATGTAAGACATGCAAGGAAAAATTACCATCTACTTCTACGCTTGGGTGTGAAAAACATTTGTGTTACATAGGAGTGCAGCCTAAAGAGACAGAACACAATGACAACATTGTGTTTTATGATTTTGAAACAATGGCGGGGGCAGATGGGGTACATATACCTTTCTTGGTTTGTACAAAAACCTTGGGGGGTGAAATTTGGGTCGGCGAAGGAATCGACTGTGCACGGCAGTTTCTGGCACACTTTAGGAGCCCAAAGTTCAAGAATGCAACATTCATCGCGCACAATGCTAAGGGTTTTGACAGCTATTTCATTATCAACGCAATGGTTGCACAGGGGCTAAAGCCCCCGTTAACAATGCAGGGAAGTAAAGTGATCTCTTTTACTGACGAGGATTTCGGTCACAGGTACATAGACTCACTGTCTTATCTGTCTATGCGTTTAGCAGACATGCCAAAAGCTTTGGGGTTTGGAGATAAAATCAAGGGGTACTTCCCTCACGGTTTCAGCTCCGAGGCTAACCTGAGTTATATAGGCCCTTATCCACCCGCACGCTGTTATGGGGTTGAACGCATGACAACTGGTGAAAAGAGTGACTTTCTCACATGGTATGAGACGGTACGCCGGGGCATTTTTGACTTTAGAGAGCAGGCATTGCTTTACTGCAAAAACGATGTGGACATTCTTGCCCAGGGGGCCGCATTATTTCGGAAAGGTTTTCTCGGGGAGACAGGAGTTGATCCTTTTAGTCGTGCGACTATAGCTTCTGCCTGTATGAAAGTTTTTACCACAAACTTTCTAACGCCCAAAACATTGGCAATCCCCCCACCCGACGACTACCGCCGTGAAAACAAGACGTACTCAGACGCAGGTATTCAGTGGCTGGAGTGGGTAGCTCAGACTGCAGGTGTTTTTATTCAACATGCGTTGAATGAAGGAGAGCAACGAGTGGGACGTTTCGTCGTAGACGGGTTTGCCGAAGTTACCGGGGAAAAGATTGTCTGGGAATTTCTCGGTTGTTTCTATCACGGATGCCCCTCTTGCTATAAGGGGCATGAGAAAAATCCCTTGATAGGTCACACATTTGAGCATCTCCATGCTGTTAGCGAGGCAAAACTGCATGAGCTAGAGGCTGTCCATGGGGCCAAAGTGAACGTTATGCGTGAGCATACATGGGTTGAGATGAAAAAATCCAATCAAGATTTGAAGGCTTTCCTCAAGGTATACAATGCACCAGAACCGCTGACCCCCCGCGATGCTTTATACGGGGGAAGGACATGTGCAGTAAAGTTGAGGCACACAGCCGCGGTAGATGAATCGGTTCATTACTGCGATTTCACCTCACTCTATCCTTTTGTAAACTGCACAGGCCTATATCCACTTGGACACCCTCAGATCATATTCCGAGATTTCAAAGACCCTCGCAGTTATTTCGGGTTAATCAAAGCCACAGTAGAACCTCCTAGAGGTCTGTACTTTCCTGTCCTGCCCTACCGAACTGCAGCTGGTAAACTGGTGTTCACTCTATGCCGCACATGCGCAGAGCTTAACAACCAACAGGGGGCCTGCTTGCATAGCAAAGAGGAAAGAGCGTTAACAGGGGTTTGGGTGACCCCGGAATTCACCAAAGCCCTGGATATGGGTTACAAGATGACTCAGATCACAGAGGTGTGGCATTTTGAGAAGAAAAGTGACAGCATTTTTGTAGACTATATACACACCTTTTTGAAGGGTAAACAAGAAGCATCAGGTTACCCTTCAGAGGCCTCAGATGATGAGAGCAGACAAAAGTATGTGGCAGACTATCATGCTAAGCAGGGCATCTTGCTGGATGCAGATAAAATCAAATCAAACCCCGTCAAAAGACAAGTGGCAAAACTATGTCTCAACAGTTTCTGGGGTAAATTTGCCCAGAGAAGCAATCTGACTCAGACTAAGATTGTGACCAAAGCCGAAGAATTTCTTAACCTCTTGTTTTCAGCTAAACATAAGGTTACGTATTTCTCATTCCTCAACCCCCGAACGGCTCTAGTTCAGTGGTGCTACGGGGAAAATTGTTACTCTACTCCCAACAAGGTGGATAACATATTCATCGCCGCCTTTACCACAGCGTATGCCAGGCTGAAACTGTACAGTGAATTGGAGAAATTACAGCGCAGAGTATTCTACTACGACACAGATAGCATAATCTATGTGACAAGACAAGGAGAGAGCCCCCTACCTATGGGTGTGTATCTGGGGGACCTGACAGACGAGCTGGGGGGCGATACGATTAAAGAGTTTGTTTCAGCAGGCCCTAAAAGTTATGCTTATCAGACCAAAAATCAAAAAAAAGTTGTGATGCGCGTGAAAGGCATCACACAAACGCACGAATGTTGCAAACGAGTGAACTTTGACAGTCTGGCCGACCTGGTGGAGGGCTACGTTCAAAACTCTGAGAGGGGGAGGGTAATTGAGGTCCCTCAGCACAGCATTGTAAGGAATAAAGAGGTTTTCGCTTTGAGAAATGTGTCATTCACCAAAAAGTTCCGAGTTGTGTTTGACAAGAGACGTTTGTTAGCCGGGGGAAATACTTTGCCTTTTGGGTATTGAGAAAATAATTGACGACATGTTTTCACCAAGTCAAATTGATTTTGACCCCCGACTGCGTGTTCCTTTTTCCTGTCTAGTAGTGGGCCCTAGTGGTTGTGGAAAAACTTTTTTTGTCAAGAATGTATTGCAAAATTGTATTCACGTAATGGATGTACAGCCTCAAAATATTGTGTGGATTTATACTTCTTTCCAGCCCATGTATGCTGAACTGCAGGAAAAGAATACAAATATAAAATCGTCAAGGGTCTGCCTGAATCATTTGAAGATGAATCGCTATTTCCTCCTGACCAAAGTCATCTGATTATATTAGACGATGTTATATTTCAGGCCTCTGAGCATCCGGAAGTAGTCAGACTGTTCACCCAATACCGTCATCATAGAAATATGAGTGTTATCATGCTTACCCAAAATGTTTTTCACCAAGGAAAAAACAGTCGCACAATTAGTTTGAATACTAATTACATGGTCTTGTTTAAAAACCCCAGAGACAGATTACAAATGAACATACTTGCTCAACAAATACACCCTGGTAATAAATCATTTTTCCTACAAAGTTTTGAAGACGCCACCACGGAACCTCACGGTTACTTAATCGTAGACATGACCCCCACCTGTCCAGACATCTACAGGCTTAGATCGGGAGCACTACCTAATCAATGGCTAGTTGTTTATGTACCAAAAACGAAGACTAGAGAAAAAACAGTATGTCGGCCCGTTTAAAAAGAAACATGCCTCTGTTGAGGGCCTTATGTCAAGCCCCGCCTTCAAAGCGCAAGGATATTCTCGAGAACTGCTCCACGGATTTTCTTCAATCACTCTGTGAACTGTCTCTAAATCTTTTAAAAGGTAACATCCCCCTGTCAGGCATTCAGTATAAGAAGCTTAAGAAGCAAAATACATTTTTCAAACTCTTGGCCAATAAAAAGACCAACTTAAAAACTAAATTCAAGGCCTTAAGAAAGCAATCTGGAGGTTTCCTACTCCCGCTACTCGGCGCGTTGATCCCCATTTTAGGCCAACTTTTAGGAGGGCTAGCTCGACCATGAGTCAAAAGATGTTTCTGCTAACACCTCACCAGTTTAATCAGCTCAATCAGAATGGTGTAACTAACCCTCACAGTAAGGAAACAATTAGACGCACTGCAGAAGATGTTCTGGATGAAAAAATGAGAGCCACCTTAAACGAACCAGGATTACCCCCTTATGAAAAAATCATAAAATACAACACCTTGTTACAAAGATATCTCACCCTACTCAAACAAGACGGGCTTGAGGAGAGACATATTACTCTGACTCTACCTGAAGACACGGGGGTGGTAAAAGGAGAAGAAAATGATGGCACGTCCGATGATAAAATAAAAAACGATGTTCTACTGCACCTCCCTAAGCGTTACCACAAGAATGCCGAGTACATTATGAGGAAATTAACCACGAGTACAGCTGGATGGACACCAGTGGGGGAATTTATAGACAAGGGGATTGCCGTTAAAGGCTCCCACGTTTTAGATTTATTTAAACATTTATCCTGCGCGTATAAAACAAATGTCCAGGAGCCTAAAGGCTGGCGGGGTTTTTTAAATAGTCTGAGTGAGATCAACATTCCCTTAACAGCTTTTCAAAACCTTCACGCTCGTGAACAATATCGCATAATCAAAGAGGGTAAACTAAATCGAGAAAATATCCCCCGAAAAAGAAGAAGAAAAACATCTCCCGTTACTACTGGGTGGGACACTTTAGGAACAGCTGTAGAACCTCAGAATGCCCTGCTTAAGAAGAAGAAGAGGATAAGGCAAGACAGAGTATTAAGCCCCAGATGGTTACATTGAACCCCTTAAGTTGTATTACATTTCATGATTTCCTAATAAAGACAGAGTCACCTGAATTAATTTTGTCTTCAGACCTTTTTTATTTCTACATTTTATAACAATCTTTAAACATTTGTAGCGAACAAACACTGTGATTAAAATGAGTGTCTTTATGACGTCTCTCACACCTCTGGTATTTTTTCACAAAATTCGTTACAGCAGCATCATTTTTTATCACATCATCTTGGTATAAAGATAACACATTTTCGTAAGACAACCCGGACGCTCTTTTGCATAGATAAAAAACACAGTGTTGACCACAGGCTGTAGACATGACATTCTGAAGTTGCCGGTTATGGTATAAAATAGTTGCACATTGTGTTTCTAGAAATTGCAGGATGCTTTTAGGATAATGACTAAAATCGGGGGGAAATCCGAAAGAATCAAAAAAAGTTCCTTCCCCTTCCTCTAAAGTCACTGCTAGCCAGTGTTATCCGGGCATGTGGGAGGGGTGGGTGTTGACAATCATGTATACAGGCATCTAAATAATTGTTTTACTCGGGGTAGCTGGTCTGAGGCCCATACCCCCCCAAAAGAACCACCTAACATATTCTGCATGAGACTATCCAGTTGGTGATTATTCATGTTGTAGTCTTCTTAGTAATAATCTACCAGCACTTGTCGTTTTGAATTAATCTCCAGAATCGAATCAAAACAAGAATATACGATTAAAGTGGTAGTCTGTGGCAGCGGTACTCTGAACCTCATTTCCAGTCTTAAACTACCGCTTGTGATGGGAGATAAGGCATCGGCATCTTCAGCAGCAGTTAAATTAAACACAAATAAAGAGTATCCTTGTTCGAAATCATCTCTGTCTATACTTAGAGGCAAGTCTTTCATGTGTCTCCCTGTAGCAGTTAACATGTTGTAAAACTCTCTGACTGACGACCCCCGGTTAAATTGGGGTTGAAATGCTTTGGCTGGTACTTGTCTCCCGTCCTGACATAAAGCCAGGTACTCCATGTCGTTATGAATGAAATTAAACGGTGAAAGCTCTCTCCTGCCGGTGAAGGCTTCGTGATTTACCATACCCAATACTAGGTACTTGGGCATATTACCCAAAAAGAGATTTTCTTGGTTGCATATTCTAGAATTAACCGGTATACTATATGTCTTTAGATTCACCCGTGACAGGGGGTAGAGGGCGTTACCTCTCAGCAGAGCCGCAGCATGCCCCAAACGCACCGCAGGAGTGATTGTGGCTTTTTTGATAAAAAGTGAAGCCCCCAGTATTTTTAGACGGTATGTAGAGTCATTTGCACACATGAGAGTAAAGGCATCGTTAGATCTGGTGAGTTTGATTCTCAAATCTACAGAGTTCAGGAGAAGCCTCTCGCTGAAGAATATATCCGTGTGTAAAGCACCCATCAAATGGAGCTCCCTAGATTCTGCTGTGAATGAGGCCCTCTTTACCAGCCCCTTATTTGGTCCATTGGCTGTGACTATAGAGTCCAAAGACCCCGCGGTGTCTTTATAAAATAAGCCGGCTGTGAACTGAGTTTTTAAAGTAGAATCAGAGTAATTCAATAGCGTTTCAATAATCGCCCTGTAAGGATGAGTCGAACTGGATTGAGAAATTAGTCTGTCCCCTAGAATAACGTCGCATTGACTAAAAATTGTATTCAGAGGGTAATTAACTAGGGCGACGGGGGCATCAGCTGCCAGATTAGTCCCATCTGCGTTGGTTATTTTGATCCTGAGATGTATCAAGGTGTCATTCATATCCAGGTATTTATCTCCGTCCCCGGGTATAAAAAATTCTATGGGTCCGTCCTCTGTAATGGCAGACAGTGGAAGGACCTCTGTGTAGTGTTTTTCGTCGATAGAGAGTTGTGTCATCGGAGCTGAAAATAAATCCAGCTCTGCCATGCTGCATTCAGCAGATTTGTGATGTAAAAGGGCCATATTTAACACGCTAAAATATATCTCTCCCCAATACGTTCCTTCTCCGAGGGTGTTTTTTCCCTAATGATTTTCTTTTGACTGTGTGTTTTCCTTTCTTGACACCCCTCGGAACCCGTTTGCCTGGAGGTCTCTTCCGGGCCATTCTTGCCAAAACCATCAGACCACCTGATCCTTCTTGAGATCCGGGGTCTGATTGGGGGCCGAATCTATGGACAGCCTTACTGATAACATCTGATGCAATATTTTTGGCCGCCGATTTCAGATGAGGTTTAGCTATGGCGAACCCTTTTCTCACCAGGGGGGCGACAAAACGAAATAATCTGGAAAATATAGAGCCAATGCCTCGCCCGTACATTACCGGGGCACCATAAAAACCAGGCAGAGATCCCCCCGCTTGATTTTCATAGTAACTCACAAAACGTTGGGGGTCTTGATGAATCATCGTTTTGAGGGGCGGAAATGAAGTTTCACTACACTTTTTCCGTAGGTGAACTTTACTGGTTTGTTCTGGTCGTTTTTTATTTCTATCTGTATATTCTCGATGTGTGTTTTTGTTACCGGCAAGTAGTATGCAGGATTAAAATACTGAGTTACTGTATCGCCGAATGTTCCTCTTATATCTACGGTTCTCAAGAGAGGAGCAAAAGCGTCACCTACCCGCTGGTGACTGACCACATTGCTATAGCAGTATAGATGTGTTGAGCCAGCATTTATATCCGCTGGATAGGCAGCTGATTTATTATCAAATTTGAGCCACTGGTCTGGTTGTATTCCAAGCATATAGGCGACGGTTTTTGGAAAGCGGAAGCGATATTGAGCCCCTCCTAGAAATTCGATTTTCCTGTTAATTGGACTATAGTGTAAACTGACATCAGGGTCAATTTTTTTTAAGCAGGACTCAAGTTCCTCTATGAGCTGAGTTATGCTACTATAGTAACCAGCTCTAAACATATGAAGCCTTAACTTGCTAGTTGGGGATATGTCAGGGAGTTTTGCTTTCTTTATCCACTCAAAAAAGGCTGCTTCCGTAGGTACGTTATACCAGGTGTGGGGGTATGATATTTCTGTCAGGGCGACCTGCCACGAACCATCCAAGTGTAAAGGTTGTGCTAGGTTCACCTGATAGCTAGAGCTTGTATTGTTTTGAAATACCTCCAGGCTGGCATTAGACGGCAGCGTAATGTAGAACCCTTCATTTATCTCCATGGTTGTAATGAAGGACTGAGCTTGATTCTGATTGCTTTTATACATCTTGGATTTCGCCAGCATCAACCCAGCTGTTGAATTTTTCGGGCCAATTACGCCAAGATACAAACATTTGTTTTTTTCCCCCTCACCACACGCCTTTTTAGAATTTTCTCGACTTGAAAAGCCTTGTCATTAGTTGTCTTAACTTTTTGTAACTCTTTCTCATAAAAAGTACCCTTGATCTCTTCTCCATCATAATCTTTGAGCTTATAAACAGGTGGCTGTCGAGGTAAGCCTTCAGACACCGTAAATAATTCGTTCGTATAACTCTGCTCATATTTTTTATCGAATACTCCTCTCAATTTGGATATCCTTACAAGCTCCCCCTCCTTAAAGTTCATTTTGACAGCAGCTTTTTTACGAAGGCTGGAGGGGTTATATAGATTCCGAAACACTTGAGCCGCATTTTCCTTGGTTACCTGCAGTGGCGTCATTTTAATACTTCGGTGATAACTATTATTGTAACTTTCAAGTAGTTCGGGTAAGACGTCTATATATCTATGAGTGTTTTTAGCTGTAAAATACCTCCACATTTTAGTTTTCAGCGTACGGTTAAATCTCTCTACCACGCATGCCTTCATATCACTGGCGGTTGCATAATGGGCTATACCTCTTTTCTTCAATAAGTTTTGAAAAACTTTATTAAAGAATTCTTTCCCCGCATCTGTTTGTATCTTTTTAGGGATCTCACTGTGTGTTAAAATTGTATCAAAGGCTTTGGCAACATCTATACCCGTCTTCTTCTTTAAGGCCTGAGCATAGGCTTTTTTAGAAAATACATCTACGACTGTTAACAAATAATTAAAACCATCATTATATTCGGACAGCGACTGCATATCGCAGAGATCTGCTTGAAATTGCTGCAGCGGTCTGAGTACGAAAACTCTGTTTCTTACAAAATGCACCCGAGCCGGCTTGTGCAAAGTATATGCGTCCTGCCCCGATAAGTATTCCCTGACTTTCTCTACATTTATTTGTTTACCCATTTCATTCTGTACAGCTCTATGGAGTTTGTCCACACCTCCTAAACTCCCTGGATTAGAAGGTGTGTAATACACTTTATGCATCGCACGTTTCTCAGACATGTTTCCTGTTACACCCCGTTGAGGTAATGAGTACAAAAGTTTTTCTTGCAAATCATTTTATTGATATGTCACACATGTATCAAAAAAAAAAACATGTTAAAAGAAGTAAAATATAAAACATACTTTAACGAAAAAAGTATCAAATTTGTTTGTCCTACTGCTGCCAAAAGACCCAGGCTGCTCTTATGGTCTTCAGACGGTTCTCGTCGTTGTCTATCAACTGGTCGTACATTTTCTCCATTTTAGCTTCAAAGAGTCTGGTGTTTCTGAGATTGTGCAGAATCGCCTCGGTAGCTCCAAGGACTCTCCTCTCTGACACATGAAGCTGGCTTTTGTGCAGAGCATCCCGAATGGCTGGAATGAAACAAACGGTCCACAGTCTCTTTAACACCTCGTCAAAATTGATGTTCAGAAAGTAATCTCGGGTCGGCAACAAACACTCGTGCTGCCTCTGACTGGGGTGAGCGATTTGACATCCGTTGCATGTTTCCTCTTTATAGAGTTGCACGACCCTATCCAGCAGATGGGCTACAACAGCTTTTACCGTATTCAGGAATGATGAAGTCCTTCCACGTTCTGTATCAGGAACCACTGGAACACACGTATAGCATGACATGTCAACGCCTTCTGCTGCACATTCCCCTGGAGAGTCGGATGGAGGTTGAGGCATATCCATCCATCCCGTGATATCGATGCCCGCCATATAGTTGTCGAGATCTGGTGTCCAAATTGTTGGTGAGGATGGTGATCCTGGAGGCGTTTGATCCAGGCTGCAGCTCGCGGTGATGGAGTTGTTGTTTTTCAGATCCATGGCTGTTGTTGATCACAGACCGTTCTTGATGGGTCCTTCGTTTTAAATGATCTGGTGAGGTGGGGGTGGGACTTGTTATGCTGTTTGGGGGGCGGGGTCGTCTGCATAAGTGAGGGTCCTTTTCAGCAGTATAATGTCGATCGATGTCTGACTCTGTTTAAAAAGTTCTTTAAGCTTTACAGATTTCTCATCAATCATTTTCAGCCAAGCAGTCAGAGGCACACGTAGGGATGTCTGGAAAACCCCGCATGTAGAGTTGAAATACTCCAAAACAAAATCATCCGAGGGGTGCTTACCCAACGTCACCACACGGCTTGAGCGGTAATACCAACGCCCAGAGGGTCCGCTTTTAGTTTCCCATACGGTGCTTGACAGGATTCTTTTC